CTAAGGACCAGGTCTGCATGGGTGCCATAAATACCTCTTTGTGCAAAACCACAGGGAAAATCAAAGGAGGATCCAGATAGCACAGGTGGGGAGGAGAGAGCTGCTCCCCACCTCTCAGAGCAGCTGTCTCCAGAAGGGATTTTGTGTCCTCCCTCTCCCTCCTCGCTCTCCTGTGGTGCCACTTGGGGCGAGTTCCCTGGGGGGCGGAGCACCATGTTGTTGATTTAGCTTCAAATTGAGATGGTAGCTCCAAATTAATCTTTCCAATCCCTAGTGACAGGGACTCTATATTTAGCACACAGGAAACTGAGAAGGTGGCTTTTGACTCTTCTTGAAACATGTCTGGCTCACTGGAACATTTTTTAAAACTTCAAAATATGTCTTAAAGTAATTTAACTTTTTGTAAAAATAAAAACCAAGCAAAAAGGGACTCTTCTGAGGAGGAACAATTGTCTTTGAACAGGACTCACACCGGGTAATTTTGCCTTGTCGCACAAAAGCATCTGAGTATAAATATTTTATGTCACTAAAACTTGTGTTTTGCAGGTTTTTTCCACTTCTTTTGTTTTTCAGATAAATATGTATATCAATATTTTAAATTCATCTTTGATTTTTTAGAGGAGTTTGTCATTGGCTTATAACATGACAATGAACATTTCCTTTTTAAAAACAGAAAAAAAGTATACTAAGTGGCCCAATCACCACTTAGATCATTTTTTACATTATCAAAAAAATAGGGCCAGGCGTGGTGGCGCACACCTGTAATCCCAGCACTCGGGAGGCTGAGGCAGGAGGATCGTTGTGAGTTAGAGGCCAGCCTGGGCTACAAAGTGAGCTCAAGGCCAGCCTGAACTGCATAGCGAGACCCTGTCTCAAAAAGACAAAAAAAAAAAAGTTTTCTCTTGTGCTAATTGAATGACACAGTGAATTTAAATTATCCCTGCTAGCTTTGCCTAGGTTCACTTTTAGGATGTAGAGAATTGTGAAGGAGGTAAGCAGTGGAAGAAAGACAGGTTGGATGATTTTCCAGGAACTGAATGAGTAATAATGATAAAATATAAGCAGCATCAAAAAGTACTGTGTGGATTCAATGGTAGAGTGACAGGGGAATAGGCATCCTGCTGTCTGCCTTAAAGAACTGCAAGGATTGTTTGCCTTTTGGCTTAACCTCATCGGTAATCTGTAAGGAGGACCAGGCACTGGGTGGGCTGCAGAATGCAGCGCTGATGATGTAAACTGGTTCCTCCCATGGTAAAGTTAGTGCACAAGCTAAACAATAAAGGAATCTAAGGACCACAGGCCATGACCTTAGTTTTGGATAAATTGAGTATATGAGTGTTTTCTGGTGAGATAACAAAACACCCTAGTCAGGGTACTTTAAAGAAAAAGGAAAAAAAAGAAAATAACCTGATTAAACTTTTAAGCCCTGCAAGATCAAAGACATTAAACACTCCAACCTGACCACCACAAAAGCTATATAAGTTTGGCCCAAATACTAAAGAGCAATTGTCAAAGAAGCATGACTGCCCTGGGCCTAATGCAGTATTCTTCACAGCCCTGATAAATGGTAAATGTCCAAGAAACAATAAAATTAAAATACATACTTCTCTAAAAATCCAAGCACAAGGAAAACTGTACCAGGTATTGTCTTAGTTACTTTTCTTGTTGCTGAAACAAAATAACCAATGGCCACAAGGAAAGGAAAGAATGGTTTATTTAGCTCAAGTTTTTAGAGGGTTCAGTCCATAAGCAGATGGCTCTAAGGCAGGATGGGATGGCAGAGGGGCATGGCAGAGGAGAAACAATCCATGGCATGGCAGGTAGAAGGCAGTGAAATACCAAGTAGCAGCAGCAAACATGCCTTCCTTCTCTGCTTTTATATTCCATCCAGGACTCATATCTATTGATTAGTCCCACCCATTCCCAGATTGGGGCTTCCATTATCCACACCCTTAATGACAGTATGACACCCTTAATCCACATTCACACACCCTAATCCAGCCACCTTTGAAACTCCCCACAGATGGCTGCATGAGACCCGAAGGGGTAGATCTAAATATAAGTGATAATATTCCACCTCTGGCCCCCAAAAGATTCATGTGTGACCCTTTACACAAGGTATTTAATCCATCTCTATAAGTTGCCAAAAGTCCTAATGGTTTCAGCATTGTAGAAAAATCCAACACCAAAGTCTCCTCTGAGATTTAAAGCTAACTCTTAGCTGTAAGCCCCTTAACAAATGAAACTTACCCATTTCCAACATAAGATGGCACAAGATAAACATTCCCATTCCAAAATGTACAAATAGGGGAACAGAAAATAATAGGAATGAAACAAGACCAAAATCCAGCAGGGCAAACATTAAGTCCCATAGTTCCAGGTCCAGAATCTGGGGCAATCTGTGGTAAAATGCTGTCCGGAAAGGTGGCAAGTATTACCACAATACCAAGACAAAAGAAGGACCTAACTAAAAAAGGGAACTATAGGACAATCTCTCTAATAAACATAGGTGCAAAAATCCTCAATAAGATATGGACAACAGGATGCATAAAGAAGGTTAAACTTGAGACATTTATAGGTAAATTGATGCAACTTGAGACCATAATAATAAATGAAATAAATCAAACTCACATGTGTAAACATCATATTTTCTCCCTGGTGTGACAAACTGAAAGAATAAATAAGAACCAAACTATACAATGAATATTGTGAAGTGGGAAGAAATTGTTCAAAAGGAAAGAGGAACTAAGGTGGAGGAAAAGGGAAAGGAAGGAAAGGAAAAGGAAAAAATTACAAGATAATCATACTACTAGTTTCTCTTAGATCATTGAAAAGAAAGGTTTGTGCTAATATGCTTTGGAGAATTGTTTATGCCCATATCTTTTACTCTGAGTAACTACTTTGACAATAACAATATGAAGTGTATTAACTATTGTTATTCTCCTATTTTTTTGCCATGAAATTTTGTTTTTTTCCATAAATAAAAAAGATAGGCTTTATTGAAAATTAATAAGGAATCTTACTAAAAGCAGCTTCAACCTCCACAAGCGGTCTTTATAGTTAGAACAATTAGAAAGACAAAAGAGAGAGCAAATATACTCAGGTAAATTTAACGTAGAGAGTTAACAAAGCAACGAGGAAGCCAGAAACATAAATGAACAGAGAAACCAGCTCCCTCATCTACCTGATAAAATGCAAAGGATATAAAGGCAGTCACCTAAGAACTCTCATTTAATATGTGAAACACACACCTTACACACATATACATATACGTAGGTATTTTCTCACTTTAACATCATAATTTATATTGTTGCACCAGATGCACATGTAATGATTTACTTAATTGTTAACTCTAAGCTACCTTTATAAAAGGTTCCCCCAACATTTACACATCACAGAACGACAGGGAAAAATCAAATGGCAGGAAAGAATGTAGACAGAGGTGCCCAAGATAGGATCAAGGACAACCAGAGAGAAAATCAGGTGGCAACAACTTCCAGGTGCCACAAGGCAGATGGGAAGAATCACTAGTCTTAAATAAAAGAAGCCAGGTACATGAGCTCCGGGGTATTTGCTTCTGATACCCCATACTGTCCTAGAATAGCTGTCTTTAGTCTCTTTTTCTGTCCTTTTCCAAATGAATCATCTTCCTTTATTTTAAACTCTGCCTCTTTAAGTCACTGCTGTTGCTGAATTTATGATCCCAGTGGTTACATGTTCTAGATGAGTAGGGGTGAACATGTTCACTGCAGCAATGTGAGCTCTAATGGTCTTGTGTGGTTCTGCCCTATAGCAGCATTGTTGGTTATAGCTCCCATGGCTTCTCTCTTGGGCCTGCTTTGCTCACTCCTTGGAGATTTCCTCAGAGGACCCATGTTCTTGGTTTCTCCAACCTTCTGTTGTCACCACTAAACTAAAGCTTTACACTCACAGCTTTATACACTACCCTGTTGGAGCACACTGCCTGACCTCCCAAACCTTCTCTTGAAATCTAGGTGGAATCCTTCCTGATCCCACAACTCTTATATTCCACATGCACCTAAAACCAGCACCATAGTGATGACACCAAAGTCTGTCACCAGCAGGAGCAGTAGCCAGGCTTCATTCCCTCTTAGCTATAGGGGTTGGGTACCTGGATTGCTCAGTGCTGTGAACTCAATCCCAAGGCGCAAATTCCCTAGGCTGCCTACATTGCGTAATGTGGTGCTGTGGAGCTCTCTTCTTAAAGCTAAGTCTTTCACCATTGCAATTTTGAGGCTGTGAAGGGTGGAGAACTGCTGGTTCTTGTGATGTCCTTGGGCCATTTTTTCTATTGTCTTGTTCCTTTTTAGCAACCAACTTCTTCACTGTTTCATCTGTGCAGGTAATAAATTTACTTGAGCTTCCTTTCTGGCCAAACTCACAACTTTTTAAAGTATTTTGCTGGGTCCTTTGTGCTTAATTTTCAATATAGATCTGGCTAAAAGCACCCCCTCAACAATAACCATGCCACTGCTTCAATATTAGAGTGCTTTGGAATTTCTTCCACCACATTTGTTAGTCTGGTGAAATTTCTTCCACCACATTAGTTAGACTTAATTTCAGTCTCTGCAAAGTCTCTGTACCTGAGCAAAATGCAGACAAATTTTCTGCCAAAACATAACGCACATGGTCTGGAGTCCAACAGCTAATGCAGTCCTAGTTCCTAACAGAAATCTCCTGAGCTTGCTCTTTACTGGCTGTATTTCTATCAGCATTCTGGCTTCTGAGCTCTGACCAGAATCTCTCATCAAATTCAGATTAAAGAATTCCAGCGATGCTTCTTCAGCTGGCACCTCCAAACTTTGCCAAATGCTTCCTGCAAGCTAGTCCCAAAGGCTCCTGAACCACATGATCAGATATAGTCACAGCAATGACCCCACTTCTCTGGTATGAAAATCTTAGTTCTGTTTCTTGCTATGGAGACAAAATACCAGACATCAAAGTTAAGGATAAAAGGTTTATTTAGCTCACATCTTGTAAAGATTTCAGTCCATAGGCACCTGGCTCCAAGGTAGGGTAGCATGGAGGAAGGGCATCACAGAGGAGAAGCAGTTAATAGCATGGCAGGCAGAGGAAGCAAAGCACCAAACAGCAGCATCACCAAACCTGGCCTCCCTCTTTCCCTTTTTATTGCATCCAGGCTGCTAGCCTATTGGTTGGTTCCACCCATATCCATGGTGGGGCTTCCATTAACAATACCCTTAATCCCAGTGTCACTCTAAATTCACATTCATATAGCATAATCCAGCCAACTTCAAAACTCCCCATGGGGGTTGGGGATTTAGCTCAGTGGCAAAGCGCCTGCCTGGCAAGTGCAAGGTCGTGAGTTCAATTCCTGGTACCGGAAGAAAACCAAAAAAAAAAAAAAAAAAAAACCTCCCCATCTATGACTACAAGGCTTGGGAAGGGGATAACATCTAGATACAAGCCCCCATAAGAGTAGTAAAACCTAGCAGCATGGATTACTATTTAGAAAGTCAGGTTAAGGCAGGTGTGTGATGTATATGTATCTACAATAAGTAGCACACATAGTGAATGTGAGAGATGTCTGTGACCATCCAGGAAACCTGAGCAGGCTCTGCTCTGGGATCTGTTCTGCACCCTGTGTTCAACATTGTGGGATGCTGTCCCGAGATCTTGGTCCAATGGCAAAGTGAGTGGCAGTGTGGGGAGAGCAGAGCATGTAATGTTGTGCCTATGCTGACAGACGGCTCAGATGTGTGCTAATCGGCCCATAGGCTGCACTTGGCTTTTCTAATGAACCAACCTCATGAAGTTTAGACTGGGATTTGGGGATGCAGAGGGCACTGCTCGAGTGCATTGGAAGTGCACCCCTCATGGAGATGAGAACCTGCCACAGAACAGCAGGCAGTTGGTGCTGTTGTGCCTGATGAAGAACAGGAAGGGGTGGTCAGCACAGAACCGGGGCACAGAATCTGCACAACACCCAGGAACCACTATCATGCCTGCCACTGCCGCAGCCTCCGTGCCTTCCTCGTTGACCTCCACCACACTCTTGTGCACAAACTTGGACACACATAGGTTGCTGTCGGCCAACATCCCAGACAGGTCGGCCTTGCCAGGGTGAAAGGCATCCACCACGCCCAGACCCTGCAGCACAGAGCCCATGTCGTAATCCTCTTGCAGTTTAAATCTCGGGAGGAAAACTTCCACTTTGGTCTTCTTCATGTGCTCTGGACGGGTCCAGCTTTGGAATTTCCCAAAAGTGAGGGTTTTTCCCACCTGAAAGACCAGGATTAGACTTTACCATTTGGACCGCAGTGCCCATCCACAGTGGTCCCTCCTGGGGGCAGCCTGTTCTCCCGTGGCAGGCAGGTGGTGCCCACTGTCACACACTGTCCCTGAAGCTGCCTGGAAGCTTGTGAGGTCCTAGTTTGTCCTGCACCCATCTACTGCGATGCCTCCCCAGATATGGTTTCCTGAGGTAGGAGACTGGGTTGTGTCTTTTCTCTGGCACTGCTGACCAGTCTACACCAGGTGGCTGTGCTTTGTGGGGATTTGGCCTTTCTGAGGATTTTATGTTTGGTTTGGTTAGGTTTTCTGGACCAGTTTTGAAGGGGATAAACCATTGCTGGTAAGCAAAAAACAACTGGAAAACAAAGGGCTGTTGGCGTGAGCCTCCTGGGGGAGGTGTGTTGGATGTGCAACTCTGAACGGCTTATGGAGAAGAGTGTCCGAGGTAGGGACTGGGACAGAGGTACAGCCAAAGGTCCAGCTGCACGCAGAGACCCATTAGGTAACAAATGCCTCCCTGCCTGCCATTCAGGAGGTGGCTGCCTCTGCCACATGCAGGGCAGGGGGGGGCGCCCCACCTGCCTCTGGTCCTGCCCTCAGCATGGGACTTCCACCTCCCCTACACCCTTGGGTCAAAGTGTAGGATTTTCTTATTCTCCATTTATGTTTTTATATTATAAAATGTGCAGCTAATTAACAGTGATCACAATAATAATAGACAACACCGCACAGCCAGGTTACTCTTTGCCAGGCAAAAGTTGTTACCTGAGTTACTCCCCATTTATAATAGTAAACTAATAAGCCTCCCAGGCAGTTGGAGACTATCAGGCAGACATCTGGGCAGGGTAACAGGCTGCACAGGGTTAAGTTCCTGTTGGAAAAGCTCATACTCACAGTGCTCTGAAGTCAAGATAACACCACAGCTGAGGCAGCCGAGGACACAGGCTGCTGACACTCCCTATTCCAGAGCAATAAAGCTGCCAACCTTAGCGATAAGACAGTTCTCCTAATTGACAAAATGTACTACATTTGTTCTAACTTCTCTGGCTTTGGGCTTTCATACCCTCCTCCTTCTGCATTCCCAAATCTGTGAAAGCCCAATAAACATGAGTGATCTGGAAAACTCTGGGTCTTTACTTCCAGAGAGTATTGACTTTCGTAGATTTCCCCCAAACCATACCACTTGTCGCTTTTTATTTATGTCGAACACTCATTACAGGAATTCGAGGGCTGGGCCAGCTCCCTGATGGCCATCACTTCCCTCATTCTCGCAATGAGAAGACCAAGGCTGAGATGGGTTACGTCAGTTGGCAAGGCCACACCATCAGGCAAAGTCCCATAGGATGGGAAAAGCCAGTAGAGGGCAACAGTCTGACCCTAAACCCAAGTGCTCCACAGCTGGATCTGTCCTCACCACCCATAGGGGAGGGAGATGCAGGAGAGGTGGAGTGCCCACACCACCCACTGGAAGGCCAGGGTGTGTGCCAGTTCTGTTCTTGCAGAAAAGGACACAGGGATGTGACCAGATGCTCTGGGCAGGACAACAAACACACACAGACTCCTCTCACCGAGCTGAGGTCCACGCCTTCATCTGGGAGCACCAGGACCATGCTCAGCTCCGGGCCCACATAGGGCAGCTCCAGCACCTGGGCTTGCACCTCGCTCACATGGGCCAAAGGAAACGTGGCTTTCTGGAACATCATCTGCACTGGCTTCTGCTCCTTCTGATAGGGTGCAGAAGGGCACACATGTCATACAGATTCTCCAAGGAGCAAGAAAATTCTCCACAGATGCTGCCTGAGTGCTCCAGCACCCATGATGGAAATGGTGTTTGTGCTTCAGGTAACCCCTGGGGAAACTGCACCCAGCACTTCCCGCAGGCATGAAAGGCCTTGGAGTGTGGACAGAGGCAGGAGCACCTGGGGAGATGTCCAGGCCAGCAAAATAAAATGGGAAGATCACAATTTTCTAGGTGCTATTCTTTGGCTCTATGATGCCTCCAGAAGCCTATATGGAAAAATAAATGTATTTTTTATGTAAAGTGCACCTTAATTTAACATGAAGGGGTAATTTAACATGTGTAAATGTCCTGTTTTGTTCTTAATTATTTTTTACGTTGTTTACTCTCTTTTAAAAGATTAGAAGATTTAGCAAACTATTTTAACTTCTGCTTTAGTTAAATTGAAAATGTCAGGGCCGAGCTCTTTACCACTCAGTTTTAATATTATAAAGTTGTAAATACTAAATTAATAATATTGAGTTAAATAACAATTCAAATGAATACTCCTTTTAATGTTAAAATTATTTGATTAAAGAAATGTGTTTTTACATTTTTTTCTTGACCTACCCCAGTACCCTACACATGCAACACAATGTCTTAACACCTTTTTTTATTGTTTCTACCTAGGCAACTTGGACTTAAAGGAAAATCTTCAGTTTCCAGACTGAGGTTGCAGCAGTAGATGCAAGAGAAATTATCAGATGGAAAGAACAGTTGTTTATGCAAAACCTTACAAACAGCAAACATTCCTCACTCCTATAATTTTTTTCTACTGAGTTTAAAAATCATTTCAGAAATATATAGTTTCAAACAATTTTTAACTAATTATGCCCTGCCAAAGTTAAAATTTTTATTCCATTACTTTATGACATGATTTTATTATTATTATTATTATTATTATTATTATTATTATTATTATTATTTTGGCCTTTTTGAGACAGGGTCTTGCTTTGCAATTAAGGCTGCCCTTGAGCTCACTTTGTAGCACAGGTGGGTCTCGAACTCCCAACAATCCTCCTGCCTCAGCCTCCCGAGTGCTGGGATTACACGTGTGAACCACGATGTCCAGCCTGAAATGATTTTTTTCTAAAGCTTCTCCCTACCTGGCTTATTTTGAAAGGCATTGTCCTTGTGCGGTACTCCCGAAACTGTTCCTCCCACCTTCCTTTGAAGTAGACAGCGTTAATGAGAACCAGCCTGCAGTCCTCTTCAAGTGAGTCCTTTGCCAACAACTGTTGAATTTTGCCTTTTGAGAAAAGCAGAGCCTACATTCAGTGGCTCCTTATACACACACGATGGACAAACTCTAGGGCAGTGTCCTGGCAGATTTAAACATGATGATTTCAAACTAGCTGAGTTAGGATGGTCTGAATTAAACAGTCAGAAACAAGTCTAATGAGAGGTGCTCGTGCACAGGGACACTTGGGGAGCATCCACCAAATGGAGGAGGTGACAGGCTTCTGAGTCACTCAAGGAGAGCAGCTGATGAGAAAGAAAGGGCAGCTTAGAGGTCCAGCAAGCAGGACAGGAGAGATGCGCTGGGTGGGACTGCGGTCCCTCAGGGGTTAGATGCAGTGTGAGGTCTAAGGCTCCCTGCTCACACCCAGAGCTAACACTGGGCAGGGAGGAGTCAGTGTGAGGGGCGGCCAGAACAGGGCCAAAGGGAGGGAGTGGCTGACGGGCACATGAGGGGCTTCTGGGAGCTCAGGGGAGAGAGATCATTGCTGATCCCCAGACAGAGCTCCAGGCATCCCTGGGGAAGATAAAGTGGGCGAGCTGGACTCGCTCCTCTTCCCCTGGATATGCAGAGTTGCATTCTCATGACCTAATGCACACTTGCCAATTGCTGCTTCAGGAGGGAACAAGGGGTGAAGATTCCAAAAGAACTGGGGAGAAATAATTCTTGTGTCTTCAAGGAAAACTACCTCCCACTTGCCACCTTCTCATTTGTGAGCAGAAATACGAATATTTGTAGTGCCGCGCAGGTGTGTGAATGGTTCACATGTCCAGCCTTCATTGATCTCAGGGCCAGGGTTGGATTATGTCACTGTCTGAACTGGAATTGAATGAGGATCAGGCCCAAACAGGGAGGAGGGGATGAGGAGAGGCAGGGAGACCAGAGGAGCAGGAGGAAGCATTAATGCTGACCTTCAGTCTTTTTGGACACCCAAGTGTTAATGTGTTTCCTGGACCTCTCTGGAGCTTTGGTGAATGACAGCTGTTCCAGCTCCGCCTGGTAGAACTGCAGACAGGACTCCTCAAATGACTGTGAACAGAGATGGTGAGGTGAGGCCACGGAGCTGGTCAGCAAGCTGCCAGGCATTCTAAGTACTACCTGGTCCTTTGACAACTTATACATGGCACATGTGGCTCTTAGTAAAGGTCACAGCGAGTCTACAAGATGTCAAATACCAGATTCTAGGCGGGGATGTGCTGAGTCTGGACTAACTGGACATGAATGAAAGAACTCTAAGACCCTCAAAGGGGAAATCATGCACAGCGTCCTTAGGGTGCTGTTGTCATTTGGAAAGACAAGCTTCCCCATCCATTCCCCAAGTGCTCTGGGGTCCTCCCCCTGGGCTCTGGGCCACCAGGTATTTTAAATCAACTTCCCTGTTCTCGAGACCTAACTCACGGAGAGGAACTGGCAGCTCTCTTCTCCAAAGAGCCCGTTGGCTATGCTGAGGGCGAATGGAGCGCCAGGCCTGTGCACTTGGGTGAGAAGCGACTGGAAACCCTGGTGGATGTCGTCTTCAGTGTTTAACCCCAGCGCCTGTGAAGAAAGTCAATACATATTGTCAGTATTGTGCTCTGGTCTCACAGAGAGTTTACCAAAGCAAAAGTTTGTTCTCAAACACTCCATAAAATAATCCTTTGTGAGGAATTTGTTGTTTCAGTTTGGGTTGTTATTTTTCAGAGTGAGGATGTAACTAAGCAACCCAGACTGGACTCAAACTCATGGTGATGCTCCTGCCTCAGCCTCCGGAGTGCTGGGATTGCTGGTGTGCAGCACATTACCCAGCGAGGCCACTTTACTTTTTCCTTGGGCAGTGCATCTTGCAGAAGACGCACAGTGCACAGATCGGAGGGGACAGGACATGGGGTGAAAGGTGTGGCTCTTCTGTCTGCTCTGGATTCAAGGGGAGAAAAGGAAAATGAAAAGGGCCAGAGAGGCTCAGAATGGAGCTGTTATGAAGCCTGCATCCCCTGCTGGGCAGGAATACATCAGACACAGAAGAAAACTGATCTGCAAAATTTATTCAAAAATAAATAATTGGTGAAAAGCACTAAAAAGGCCAGGAAAATGTTCAGGAATAACACCACAAAGGGACTCTTAAAGAGAGATAAGGGTATAAAAACATGATTAACAGGACTAAAATAGAGTTGTTAAAATTGTATCCTGCAAATAACATATATATTTTAAGTGTCACTGTAATATTCAAAAAATATATATTAGCTTATAAAAAGAGTCTTAATTGGTTGTGAGATATAGAAATTTCAGAGATTACAGCCGGCCATGGCAGGACACTCCTATAACCCTAAAGTTGTGGAAATCTCAGGCAGGAGGATCTGAAGTTCAAACCCAGTCTGTGCAGTTTAGGGGCTGAGAAGACCTGACTCAAAATAAAAACTGACTGAGCATATCACTCAATGTGAAGGGTTTGGGTTCATTCTCCACTACTCAATAAGACATTATGCAGGCTGTAGTGTCTGAAATCAATGAATTAAACTTGAAATCAGTAAAACTACGAATAAAACACCAATAACATGGAAATGATGCTACTAAGTCATTATTGAAAACATTTTTCTCAGATAGGCTTGGTAGCAGACACCTATAATCCCAGCACTCTGGAAGGCTGAGGTAGAAAGATCCAAAGTTCAAGCCCAATCAGGGAATTTAGGAAGACCTCGTACCAAAATAAACAATTTTTAAAAGGGCTAGATACATGGTTCTGTGTAAGGGCTCTGGGCTCAACTTCTAGTAGAGAAAAAAATTTTCTCAGGAAATAACTCCTGCACATAATAATCGCAGCGCTACTTTATTCTATATAAATCATGGTTCTAAGTAGACACATGTACTTAACCTGACTCAAATATTACACAATGTATGCGAAGATCGAAACATCAGGCACCCTACAAATACATACAATTCTTAGGCTTTTATGTATCAGTTAAAAATATATTTAAAATTTTTTTAAAACCTAGAAAAAAGAGGATATGACTCTACCCTTGACAATGAAGTAACAAGAAAAATTACAGAGAACTACTTCTTAAAATAGACGATCTTTAAAAGATTTTTTTTCTAGTGTCAACGTTTTTATTTCTCATAACACTGATCCAAAACAGGAAAAGATTAAGAGCGATCATTACTGAGAGGGTCCTCCAGGCAGTGCGGGTCACACCGAGACCAACATGACAGCAGAGCACGTCCTGTGCAGAGCTCCATGCAGGGCCAGCAGGTGCCAGGGAGCGGCCTTCTGGGTTTTTCTCAGGTGTCTGTCTCCTGTCACCCTGTGATCCCCTAGGTGCAGGAACTGGTCCTATGATCTTTCAGATGAGCCCTGAATGCCTTACCAACAGTGCCCAGTGGAATCTCCAGGGTCCATAGAGGAATCCAAGCCTCCTTTATGGACCAGGCCTGCTGCATTCTGTTTTTCTTCTCACTGAGATAGCAAGGCACCACTGAATAATTGCAGCTGCAAAGTCTTGTGCTCCAGGAGACAGATCTCAGCAACTTCTGTTTCAAATAATTCTGGCACTCTTTTCTTTTCTTCACCCCGCTGTGTGCTGGCGATCAAGCACACAGTCCTCACCACAGCACCACGCCACCCCAGCCTCAGCTCATTTTGTAAACAAAGTGCTAGGCAAAATTTTGTGTGTTTTCTGGGTTATTATTCGAGGAAGGCCCCCTATCTCTCCACAGCCACCACAAAAAACAAAAACATCATGTCACAGAGGGAGACAGGGCAGAGCCCAGCCTACCTGGACGATCTGGGCTGCTGTGCTGCCCTTGGCCCCCAGCAGGACCATGGCCAAGGCTGAGGAGACGCTCAAGGGAGAGTAGAAGACATTGCGTGCAGGGTCCTCCTGACCGAGAAGCTTTAATAGGCGGATGGCAAAGATGCCATTGGCTTCTGACAGCCTGTTCATGATGCGTCTAGAGGCAAAGAGCAAAGGGCCACGTCATGCCACTCACCCAAGAGTCCACTGCCCAGTCTCCTGGCCATGTGGAAATGGTGCTTTTGGTTTTCATCGCAAAGCTTCCTCATATTTCAAGTTGGACTCAAGAAGGTCCATTCAGTGCCACTCTGTTTCCAAAACTATGCCCAGATTGTAGGGGAATTAGCCACCTGTGATGAGGGCAGCAGCCCAGAGCAGCCTGCGGGCCTCAGGGAAACCACAGACACTCTCATCTGCACAAGCACACAGACAGATGCGAGGGCGGGAACTCACACAGGACACGGCTGGGCCAGGTGAACTCCGCCCCTTTCCCACAAGGACCACCTCCTCCCTTCCCAGAAGCAGGACTGAGTCAGGGATGAAGAGGAAGATCAAGGGGTGGGGGAGGAGGAGGGACAGAGTGGGAGACCCAGAGTGATGAGCAGGGAGGACCTCTAGCCCGGCCTCAGCATCCCTCCTGTGCTTATTCTTGCCTCTGTGTGGAGAATCCTTGTGGGATTTTCAGCTGTGCACCAGATCATGAACGCACAAAGATAGGAGCTGCTGCCTGAGGCAGGCTGAGGTCCAATCTGCTGTGAGGCCAGCTCCTTCTGCTGCAGGGACAGCTCAAGGCCCAGCTAGCTGAGGGCGCCAGGCTGCTGTCTCTCCCGCCCTGCAGCCTGTGTCCCTGAGGGTGGGCTGCCTGCCTCCAGTTCAGAGTTCCTCCCCATCCTGCCCTGCTCCGGAAGTCATGTGACCGAAACCCTGGGCTCAGGGAGGGAACACTGTTGTTTCTCCTGTTTGCTTTCACTTTCCCTAAGGAACTGAGGTTTCCCTCAGAAACTGGGGATGCTCCCTTCCCTGTTCCCAGCTCACCTGGGGGACCTCCCTGGGCCTTCCCTTCAGCGCTCTTTCCCCACCCACTCCCAAGACCTGCTTCTTCCCCTACCCCAATCTCTCCACCTCACACTCAGACCCAGGGTCTCATAAACCACCCAAGCTCCTCCCCAGACCCCTTGTGTCCCTGCTACTCTGGTCCCTGTGTCCCCTGCCTGTCCTCACCACCCTGCAGATCAGTGCAGCTCCCCGTATATCATTGCTCTACCCCACCACTGACCTCGCCCATTTCCTCTTTCTGCTGCCTTCTCCGTCCTTCCCGGTCTCATCACAGTTGCCTCTGAGCCCCTCTGAAGGCCCCTGCGCCCTGGGCATGGTGCTCCCACCTCACCCTGCATCTCAGGGCCCCCCAGGCCGCCTTGTCCTCCTTCCAGGCCCAAGCTGCCCTCCCCGCTGCGTGCAGCCTCTCCCAGGGACTGCGCCCCGCCTGCAGGATGTGGGGACAGGAACTGAGTCCCACAGGGGACGGGGCTCAGGAGAAAGAAGGCTTCTGTGTCCTGGGGTGAGGGGCAGGAAAGACGGGATGAGCAGGGGTGCTGGGTGCTGAGGGAGACAGAGAGTGGACCAGAACGAACAAGGACAGGAGGAAGCGGGGCGGGGCTGTTGCAGGGAAGAAGGGCGAGGGTGGTGGCAGGGGCAGCCCCAGGGAGCAAGGCCGCCTGCGCCCCTCAGCTCCAGAGCTGCAGCCGCAGGAGCTACTTGGCCTGGCCCGGATTTCTCCGCACGTGTCCCAGGGTCTTTTCCTGTGTGGGTCTCTCCACAACCGCTTGTCTGTGCTTGCTCATTCCGCAGGCCAGAACCTGGTCTGTTCCCCCAACCTGCCACATCCCGGCCTCACCTTCCCACCATGCACATCCCTGAGGAAGCCTGGATCCCACCTGATGGATCTCAGGACTGCCTGCTGCTGCTCCAGGCTGGTCAGAAACCTGGGGCTGTTGTAGCCCTGGCTGTGTATGTATTTTGGCCATAGGGGTGGGCACTGTCCAGACCTGTCCTCCTGTCCCACCTCCTGCCCAGGTGTGTACGTGTCCCCCTGGGCCACAAGGACCCCCGTGGGTCAGAGCAGGTGCTGATGTCCTTGTTGCAACAGAGCACCGCAACCCTTGCTCTGGAAAGATTTAAATTGTGCAAACAGATCGGGGGAAGCTGAAGCACCAGAAAGGGGGTGGGTGGGGTTATGCTTGGTATCACCGCTCTGGGGGAGGCTGGGGTAGGAGGATGGTGACTAGGAGTCCAGCCTGGGAAATGTAGAGGAAATCTTTCTCAAACTTCAAAAAAAGGCAAGGTGGAGCTGAGGGTGTAGGAAAGTCCTGGGTTCAATCTGCACTACAGCACCTACCAAAATCCAAACAACAAACAAAAACCAGAGCAGAGAAGGCAGCTAGGAACCTGGGCTCTCCTCATTCCAGGAAGCCACAGAGGAATGAGAATCTGAGACTTCACTGGGGAGGTCGGTCCCTTTTTACATAAAGGAGCCCTGGAGATGGGTTCTAAGTGTTTGCCCAGTGCTGCTCCCACACACTTGGGTTGGTTTTTCTGTAGGACCCACATAAAGCCCAGGTTCCAGCTCATGGGAGCCCAGCCCTCCTCTAACCCACGCCTGGGCCTGAGGGCTGCTGTGTGTGTCCTGCTTGTCCAGCCCGGGGCAGACGCTGAGAGGAACCGGCTCAGGACAGTGACTTTGTCCTTTGTCAGCAGGAAAGTTCCTGGAGGCACCCTGGGCCCGCAGGGTCCAACCCTCAGTGCGCCTGCGCAGTCTCCGGCTGGAGGCCAGCGGAAGCCTCCGGGACAATGACCAGAGGAACACAAGGCACAGGAAGTTTCCTGGGCAGCAGGGAGCTTTTCCCAAGGCTTCTCTGTCCTCTTTGAAGTTTCTCCAGACTTCTGAGAGTAATTCCTGAGAACTGACTGGGGGTGAAGCCTGATGGGGTCTTCTAAGGACCCCTCTTGGGGGCCAGCCCTGTCTTGAGAGGGCCTTTCTCCCCCGACCCCCACCCAAGAGGCAGGGATCCTTACATTTTGCCTCACTTAGCAAAAAAAAAAAAAAAAAATAGAACATACACAGCATAATACCGGTAAGAAAAGAATCCTAAAATTTTAGTTAGGTCACTGAAGGAAGAGTGGAAGGTAATGGTAAGAGTTTATATTAACTAACAGCTTCCAGCGAAGCCACTAGGACAGCAGTCTTTCTGCCTCCTCTCCTCACACACTGAAAATGGACCATTGGGGCCACGTCTCCTTCTGCGCTGGAAAAAAAAAAAAAAAAAACAGCAAAACTTTCCTGCATGAAGCAACCTGGACTGGGCTGGCTCTGCCTCCATCTCTGCCGCACTCCTGTGGGAAGGGATTTTTTCTGCCGTTCTCATGTCGCTGTTCTCACTCCCTGATTACACTGATACGTCTAGACCCAACTCCTGGACTGCACATCCACTCTGAGGCTGCCTGCTTTGCAACTTGAAAGCAGCCTCTGCTTGGGGCTGAACTTACTTCTGATGCAGGGATTTCCACATTGCAACCCTGGCTGTAGGGCAATGATGTCTGATGCTGGAAGCAGTCAGGCCTACGCACTGACGATGTCAGGTACCCTGCTCTGTTTATCTTCTCCTGCTAGTGACACCTTACGAGGCCCAGGTAAGGTTTAAGGAAAGAGGGTTCTATGGGCTCACACTTCTGTGGAGGGTGGAAGGGCCACATCTAGAGATATTCTCCTTCAGACACAGCCCTGAAGTGGGGTAAAGCAGCACATGGCACAAAACCGAGAACTTGACAGAGACCTAGCAAAATTGGCTGTGATGCCAGATCCACTCAAAACCCATTAACCCATGGATTACCTGAGGCTTAGTGGGTCCTTTCCTGAGAGCATAGTACTAAGAATCTGTGAAAGGCCCCACCCAGCCTCCTTTCTTAACATCTTGCCATGGGAATTACAATTCAACATGAGTTTCAGAGGGTAAAAGTGTAACGTACACAGGGAAAATTCTAAGTTCTGCTAACAAATGAGACAGTAGAGACTGAGAGGTCTTCTTTCCTTAAACAATTCAGCAACTGTTTCCCCCACCTCTCCTTGGAGTCTGAGATATTTGAAGCCCTCTTGAGACACTTCATTAGCAAGGAGGCCCTTCGTCCACTTAAATGATACCACTTGATAACCAGGATTGGAAATGTTACATCCAAAACAAGAAGGGGAAAATGAGTAATAACCATCAGAGCAGAAACCAATGATTTGAAAACAATAAAGTGATTCAGCTGAAACCTTGAAAGTGCTTCCTTGAGAAAAATTAAAGTGGAAATGCTGTAGTGAGTTGGTGAGGGGAGGAATTACCAGTATTAGGAATAAAAGTGATGGTGTCATAACAGAATTTAGAGATAGTAAAATGAAGACAAAGGCATAGATTACAACTTTATGCCAATATGTGTAACAAATTAGATAAAATGATCAAACATTTAAAAACCAAAGACTACCAAAGCTCACCCAAGAGTAGATATATTAAAGAGTTCTGACTGTATTAAAACACTAGATTTGAAATTTAAATTCTCATAAGGACACTCTAGTTTCAAATGCCTTCACTGGTGAATCCTAAAAAAGATTAGGGAACGAAATAATGAAAATTCTTATTTCTCAACCTACTCTGAGACCAGCATTACCATGATATCTGAACAAGACAAACAGATGGCAAGCAAAGAAAACTAAAATCAATGTCCTACATGAACATAGATGAAAAATTCTGAAGGACTAGTAAGTAGTACATTAGATTCAATACTATATAACATGGATAGGACTTCATAAATTAGTGGTATATATCCTAGTAATTCAAGAAATGTTTTACATTAGAAAATTAAGTGATGGAATGCATTATATGAACAACCTGAAAGAAAATAGGGTTATCTCAGAGATGGGGAAACACTATAGAAGAAAACTGAATATCTGGTACTGATTAAAAACTCTCAGCAAATTAAAATTAAAAGGGAACTCCTTCAACCAATAGACACCATTTATGAAAACCTGCTGTTATACCACACACGCTAATGAAAAGCTATTTGCTGTAGTGTAGGTGCTATGGAGTGTAAGAAAGCCAGAAACAGAAAAATGGCTACCTAAAACAAAAAAAGATGGCTACCTAAATAGAAGAGAAGACCTAATCACCTTTACTGACCAGAATTATGATTATTTGTAGGAAACTTACCATAATCTATAAAAAAGGCTAATAAAGAGTAAATTTTAATAAGCTTACAAGGTAGAAACACAAAAATCTATTATATTTTTTATCTAAATTCATGGAGAAATGCAAAGAACGAAAGCTTGCTGTTACGTTTTGTGTCTAGGTGTCCTCCCAGAACCTCATGCGTTCATGGGGTGGACTTCTGAACTTTTGTTTGATTCATGGTCCAGTGCTGGGATTATGAGTGTGAGTGCTACACCTGCCCTGGGATGCCCAGCCTGCATACAATGTAAGGGAGGGAAAGAGGCTTGTTCCTGATGCTCCTCCCCTTTTGCTCTGGTTGCTTTTGCTGTTTTCCGCTGCCATAAACTGTTTGCCTCTGCCATGTGCTTCTCTGCCTTGGAGCAAGCTGATTATGGACTGAAACATCCACAAGCTGTGAGCTAAATAAACCTTTCCTTCCTTAATTCCGGGTGTTGAGTATTTTGTTTCAGCAGTGAGAGAAAAGTAACCGAGACAGGTACTTTGTCTCCCGCAGCCAGGTTTCACAGGTCCAGGGATCAAAAAGGGGAAGTGGGAATGGAACCACTCACCATTACCCCTAGTGATGCACTAGCAGCATTTTTGCTTCCTGTTCCTGAGACATTATGCTCTGCTGATTTAAAAGTCTTAGTTCCACAAAGGGGAAGGCTTGTGCCAGGAAGCACAACAATGATACCACTAAACCGGAAGCTAAGAATTACTGCTGGTCATTTTGGTCTCTCATGCCTCTGCGAAATATCACAGATGGGGTACCATCCTCCCAGAGACTGAGAGACAGAGGCCTCTCCTTCCTGATGATCCGTTAGAAAGGAATAAATTTGTGGTACTGGAAAAAGACACTCCCAGTCTACAACAGACCCATATTTTCTGTATCTGAAGGGACAGAAGAAGGATTTACCACCACAATAAGAAATTGTTCTTCAAATGGAAGATCAGGGCAGTATGAGCACCATAGCCTGGAACCAACAGTAAATTTCAACTGGAAACACCGGATTTTCCCAGGTAGTACCTTTAAGAAGTCATCCTAGAGATGAGCCCTGCGGCTCTCAGACACCTTGTTACTATTTCAGTCTTTCATGTGGAAGGGAGGGTAGATGGGTAGTTTGTGAGAGTGCAGGTTTTACAGGCCAGGGTTGAGGTCCAGTCCAGAAAGAGGCTCAGAGGACCTGGCTCTGGCTGGCTCAGGGGAGAATCTTCCTGAGCTGTGGCTTCTCAACTCCAAGTCAGTCCTTGACTTACATTTTCCAGTTCCTTTGGCTCCTGACTGCAGGCCATGGCGACCATCAGGCAGGGTCACCTCAGATTTCCAGTCACCCGGGGAAGAGGGGAGCAGACACCTGGACACCGGGGGGTGAGATTCCTGCTCCTTGCTGTCAGAGGAGGACACACTGCACCTGAGGAGACCAGCTGGGACCCATGTGCATGTTGCCAGATGGAGAGTCCCGCTGGGCTTCTTTCCAGGTTCTCGGGGTCCCCAACAGTGAACCAGAGAAGACACACAGAGAGGGCAGCAAAAGTGTGCGTTTATGGAAGACGGAAAAGAATTAGGGTCTGCAGGGGGAGAGCAGAACTGTGCAAAGGCTCCCAGTGGCCTGACCATAAAGGGAAGTGTGCTTTTCTCTTTATGTAAAGAAGGCACTGGGGAAATGTTGTCACACATGCTTGGTGTCATGTCCTCTTACACCATGCTATGAGAAAGCTCCCTTGGTCTGCTGTTACATGTGAGTGAAGGATAAGGAACAGTATTTCCACTGGTTGCATCTACACACAAATGAAGGATTCAAAAGAGTATCTTTTGACTGGTCCAGTGAACAATACCAGATTCAAATGAATGCTCAAAATGGCATCTTCAGATTGGTCCAGAATAATACTTTCTTGATTGGTTGGTGAACAGTGATGATGAAGTGATGGTTCTGTGAACAGTAATGATGAAGACTCCTCCATACTGTGAGTGTCCCTCTCCCTGAAAATGTCCCTCTCCAGCTGCCCTGTCTTTTTTTTTTTTTTTTTGGTTTTTCTCCGGTACCAGGAACCGAACTCACGACCTTGCGCTTGCCAGGCAGGCGAGCTGCCCTGTCTTATAAGGAGCCATCCTTGACCTTCAGTGGGCTTCTACCCTTCACACTCAGCAAACAACTGACCATATTAGACAGCACTGGCCACTCCATAGTTCTCCCACCCCACTCCTCCCTGGACATTTCCGGCAGCTTTCTTGGCCATAAGAAGCCATGAGGTGAGGCGCACATTGTGTCTGTTATGTAATCCCGGGAGAACACCATGAACCGCAACCTCTCCCTCAGGCACCGGTCCCAGTGGGTCCCCTACATTCCTCCCTGCCAGGCCTCATCTCCCAGGGTGACATCTCCCCCCAGTAGTGCTGCAGCTGGAACACAGTTGCCTTTGGAGGACATCTCTGACCCACACCATAGCATCAGCCTCTCTGTTACCTGCTGGAGCCTCATGGAGGAGGACAGAGCCCTGAACACATCCTGCATGTGTTGAGCTGGCTCTGTCCATGCTAGATGGAGGGAAGATCAGATGGGAACCAAACTCTGGATCCTGCTCTGACCACCATGGAGAAGTTGTTGACACTTGGGGAGGGGATATTGATGTTTTTGGCATTTGAGCAGCTGAGCATGTTAATTCCCAGGCCTCTGCAGGGCAGGTTTCCCACATGCAGAGAAAGATGGGTGAATCACACACCAGGACTGTGGAAAGAGTGATCCCTGGAAATAGTTGCCCACAGAATAGCCCCACCTAGCATCAATGCTAAGGCTGGATTCCAGCAACAATCCCAAGGTCATGGTGTTTGAAGCCCAGACAGATCAGGCACAGAATTTTTCATTTTTTTAAAGGAAAAGCACCACATACTACCTGGAGAGGTTCAGAAGAGTTTCCCGAAGGAAGCACTGTCTGAGCTGAAGTCTCATAGACAAGCCAGGGTGCCCAGTGCCTGTGGAGTCGGCAGGGAGAAGTGTATATAGCTTTCTGGGCTCTAAAGGAAAGAAGATACAGCATTCAGGACAATGCTCCCCTCATCCCAGAGAGTTTGGACCCGCTGGGGCAATAAGAGGATACAAAAAATGGCTTCAAACTGGGTGGGTCAAGGCAGATCTGGAGGGTGATGCAGACTCACAGTGGCAGCAGACAGGTGGTGGAGGGGAGAAAAAGGTGGGATTCTAAGGCGTGGAGGTGAGCAGGATGAGGTGGGTCGAGGGCACTGGATAACTAAAGCCACAGGAGTTTGGATTATTCAACGTTAGAGGCAGGAAAGCATAGAGAGCCCTTCCCAGTCCTTGTCACGGCCCAGGAAGTTTGTATTTGTAATGCCAAGAAAAGTTATAGGAATTCTAGCAAGTTAATTCCAATCTACCAATTCCAGTGCAACCCATGGTGAGAACAAAGACATTAAGGCACATTTGTAGTTATGGGGAGCCAAGGAGTCCTCAGTCCAGCCATGATGATGGCCATCTGGAACAAAGGCCTCAACCCAAGGCTGAACCCAGGTTTTATTCATTCATGAAGAAGGGAGCGGCTTGAGGATGAGGGAAAGTGAGAACTGTAGGAAGTAGATGAGTGTCATGAGCTGGGCTAGGTAGACCTGAAGTCACCTCTGCTATATGTACAGAGAAGGATATGCAGAAAGAGTAATCCACACAACACAACTGAGGTAGTATCTAATGTTTTAGGGTCAGTGCTTCTGCTCTGATGTGTAATGTTTGAAACCCCGGAAAGTGATAGCCTCTATCCCAAGGCTCCATCCCAGCCGACAGCATGGTGCATTGACTCACACATCCCACCTCATCCAAGCTCACTAGTGGGAGCAACGGGGGTCTAGGGAAACACTTGTGCCATCTCTAAAGACTACCATCAGCACCTGGGCTAGACCAATATGCATTGCTTAAAGCCATTGAAGGGATAAGGAAAGGGTCCTAGCCAGCTCTGTACACATCAATACATGGCAATAGGGTTAGGCTCAGCCAAAATAGAGGCAATTGCTCCTCTTTCAAGGAGAGTTGCCTAGGTGGTCCTCCATAGGGAAGGGGCTTGGTCTAGGTTTCTGGATGCCCAGGAGGACAGAGACAGAAATGCCTATAAGAGACTGGGACCAGCAGCAGAGTGAGGAGTGGAGCCTGGATAGAGCTGAAGGGTGAATAGTCCTGAATAGTCATTCCGAAAGGGTGGGGAATAGCAGGGAAAGGGGATTCTTGGAGGGAAAGGAAAGGGGAAGAAAAGCAGCAGGGAGGGAAGGAAAGGAAGTGATCACTCTGAGCCCACTCTCACATCAGGATGCTCCCTCGTGATCCCAGCTCTTTGGACCACATCTGCAAGTCTCTTCACCCCCTGAGGCAGCACAAGGATTGGGATGTGGGCATCTTGGGTGGTGCGCTGTCTGCTGACCTGCTGTGTGTGCCCTGACAGGGGCAGTGGTGACCACATGACTGTAGGAGCGCTTGGCTGATGGGCCTTCCATCCAGGTCTGCTCTGCTGGGTGAGCTCTTGGTGCAAAGTGCACTTTGTGGGCAGTTTATTAGGAATGTTAGGAAGCTGGGCGTGGTGGTGCACATGCAACCCTAGTGCTCTTAGAGGCTGAGGCAGGAGGACTGCAAGTTGGAGGTCAGCCTGGGCAATTTAACAATTTGGTGAGATCCTCTCTTAAAATAAAAAAACCAAAAAGGACTGGAGATCTAGGTCAATGTGAAGTCCCTGGGTTTCATGTCCACTATGAACACACACACACACACACACACACACACACACACACACACACTAACACATATGCACATGCAGAAACACACACACAGAAAAAAGGAAAGACATAAGTAAAGAAAACCAAAATGAATGTTAGTCAAAGAAGGCTCCTTATCAAATGTGTCTTCTTTCCCTGAACTGCTGCTCTGCCATGGCCACTGTCCTCATGGAAGCCAAAAGCAGTGTGCCTGTCACATAAGAGATACAAGGAACACTTTCTCTGTGTTTCAACAGAGTGGTCTTCTCAAACCCTCAGGCCAACAGACAACTGCCACGGGGACCTGTGGAAGCAGGAGGAACCCCTGTGTCAGGCCAAGGCCAGCCGAGGGCACACAAGTGTGCTGTGAGGACGAGGCGTCTCCCACCATAGTTATGGGAGCAATGGAAGCACTGGGTTAATCTCCGTAGACCAAAGCGTTAATGTGTGATGGAAAAACAGTGCCTGGATGGGTAAGGTCAGCCTCTAAGCCTTTCCCACATATGGGCAAAGGGTTTCATCTTTTGTCATATGTTAAATTTTGGTTAAATTATACCTAAAATGGAAATGCAGTTCTGTACATGACTGTTCTGTGAACTGGGATTTTTGTAGTGTGTGACTGTGTGGAAGTGAAAGAAGACTAAGCACAGTGGGAACTCCTGTGTTCTGGTGCTTTTAGAGGAAATAACGCACCTGATTTCTCCAATCTGAGTCTAGGGCATCAGACAGAGGGGAGGGCAGCGCTTTGAAGTCCCAGCCCCAGAGAGGACGAGCAGGCAGCTACAGCTTTTGGTGATAGGTGGGAAAGCAAAGCAGTCTGTTAAATATGCCAGCAAGCCTCTGTGGCCCTGGAGGGAAGAGGTGGCATGTGGGAACACTGGATGAGATGGGTGCAAATGCAGGTACAGCGGATCTGACCAAGAAATGACCGTGAACTTTATGGTCTCTTCATTGTAACTTCTCTGCATAATAAAATATCCACTAGAGTGAATGCAACACACCTATAAGCACTTCTGGGGACGCTCTCAGCCTCCACAGGAACTGAACTATATCTTGTCCAAAGATTCCTGTCCCTTTGGAGAAAACATGAGCAGTTATTGACATTCCTTTGAGGCCCTGCAAACTGAGAAGGAGCTAAGGTCCCCATCCCTCCCTGGGGCTGCCTATCGGACAGCCAGCATTGCTCCTTTTCTGTAATAAGTTTTGCAACAAAACATTTGCCTGTAAATTTGTGTTGCTGTCTCAGGTTCATTTGCATCGTCACTGACACAAGGACCCCTGCTAGATGGCGACAGTGACAAGTTCCCAGCATGGTGCCAAGCACACGGGCGATGTTCAGTTCTTTTTGTATCAACTGAGCAAATGAATGTTAAATGCAGCATGGCCTGTATGTAGTCTTTCACAGGAGAGGTACATAGGGAGGAGAAAAAAAATATTTTTTTTGGTACTGGGACTTGAAGTGAGGACCCTGCACTTGCCAGGTAGGCAATTGGGTGGGTGAGCTATATTCCAGGCTTGAGGTAAATATTTTGTGGAATTCTTTTTAGAATCTGGCCCAGCTCAATCCTTTTCTCTTAGAAGCCATTTAAGAAATCTTGTCGGACAGCTGGGCAAGCTGTCCTTTGCCGAGGATATAGAACACTCCAGAAGCACCCATGGCAACGTCACAGCAAACAGTGCCAGGGATATCAGCAGCAGGAGAGAGTTGGCATGGTGTGGACTCCGCAGTGCTGCTTTGCTACTCTTCCCGGATGCCTGTTATGAAGTTTGAACTATTGTTAAGGCAGTGTCGTTGCTCTTTTATTTCTCTTCAACTTTTTGACCCTGGTGGTGTAATTTTTTTAAAAGTTGTTTGAACTACTATTACGATCTGATTCCTTTCCTCTCAGCAGTGCTGACAAATCCCCCCAAAATGTTTTCTATCTGAGGCCTTGTTTATATTCCATCTGGGCGGGTCCTTAAAATCAACCAGGAAAGCATTTTTCATATGTACCGTGATGTCCTAAAAATAATAAGGTAGGGAAGATTTCTCAATGGGACCAGTAAACAATTGATTTCAAGATCTCTGGATTCTGGGCAGGGGAGATAGGTCAGTGGTGCAAGTGCCTGCCTGCTAAGTGTAAGGTCCTGAGTTTAATTCCCGGTTTAAAAAAAAAAAAATCTCTGGATTCTTTATCTGTTCCTGAATGGATTTATGCCTCCTAGATGATTGCAGTGGGGAAAACAGAAGATTGTTTTTAAGTACCACTTGTGCATTCATTTTTTCATCATTGAACAAGTCCATTTTGAACACCAGTCATATTATTTGAATTAATGGGACGTTTCCCTTAGAACTTGGAGCACAGCCTTGATAGTACATTAATTTTTTTTGAGTCAGAGTCATGATTTTGTCCAGGCTGATCTTCAACTTGTGAGCTCAAGCCATCCTCCTGTCTCAGCCTTCCCAGTAGCAGGAACGCCTGCCTCACTCCTGACAGCTTACAGTGGATGGTCCTGTTCTTCGTGAATCAGATACCTGGGCAGCATAGAGAGACCCGGTCCTAAATCAACAAATACACTGTATTTCATGCCAGCTTTAAAGCTGGCTGTTCCTGCACATCCCGCCACGTTCTCTTCTTCAAGAACAAAAAGCCCTAAAACCAGTTCTCTAAGTGAACCACTTTAGGATACCTGCCTTCGCTGTATAATTTCTAATCACAGCTGCAACTCTAAGAATATTATTTCACGCTCCTTTTAACTTGGAGAAATTATTTTAAATCACGAGCACCAGCTGGGTGAGGTGGTGCAGGACTGTGATAATCCCAGTACTTGGGAGCCTGAGGCAGGATGTCTGCCACAAATTCATGACCAACCTGGGCCACATGAGTTCAAGGCCACCCTGAACTTCATAGACATTCTCTCAAAAAATGAACAATGAACCAATAACAAGCCAAAAATAGACGTCATGGGTGTGCTTCTCTATGAAGCATCTAAAGACAGGGATTAACAAAATGCTAAAACATGCCTCCTGGCCACCCTGCTGTCAGTTGAAGCCCAGACTGACTGTGCTGACGGTTCCCATTGTGTAGGGGCTTCCAGCATGGTGATGCCAGTTCCTGGGAGTTCAAGCACCAGCACCGGCTGCTGGCAGGTCCAGCCATGCACACCTTCCTCAGGGCACTGACATCAGGTTGCTGGCATCCCTGGCTTCCCTTAAGGGTTCAGAGGCTCTGCGGGACTCAAGTGGCAGGTCTGCCCTGGCTGCTTCAAAGATGGGCAGAGGCTGG